GTTATTAATCTTAATAATGCATGCTCGATCATCAAAATTTGATACTTTATGCATGATCATAATTACATAAGTACTATATAGAATTTAGTCTAATGCAGGGTTGATGATTCTCTGTAATATTTATTTTAAAATAAATAAATATCATTATAGTGGCCCTGGTCTAATGCTAATTTGAAGTAAAAAACAATATATATTACTTTGTCTTTAGATTATGCTAATTTCTCGTATCATTCTTGCAGGGTTGATTGTCTTTCAATTGTGCCAATAGTTTATTATATTGATTTCTCGTGTCGCAAAGTTAATTGTCTTGTACTAATTTTTTATATGCTCTTGGAAGTTTAATTGTTTTTTGATTGTGCTAATAGTTTATCATGATGAAATAATTAGATCTATCTTTAATAAATACAACTACAATATAAATTATACAATTTGCACAAATACTATAAATATTAGAAAGTAGATATTATAATTTTAAATTCTTGTAATTTTATTAATTAAATACTTACTGCTAGACATCCTGAATTTTAACTAAAATCTTCAAAATTTATCAGTTAAACTTTATAATAATATTAAACCATTTAAATAATCTAAATCGCAGTAGTAATATTGAAACTTTCGAATCAGAAGATTATTCTAAGAATCTTGTAATTACATATACAGAAAAAAAAAATATATTACACAGCAATCATTTAGTTATTTTATAGAAGCTGAAGGGTTTTATCCACATTTTTCTACACTTTGTTATACATTACCTTCTAAAAAATATCCAATTCTTAATAACTATTCTGTAAGAACTATCTGAAGATATAGAAAAAATCAATGAACAGTTTAATGTACAATTAAATATAAGAAGGAACATCAGAATTTTGAATTTTATTTGGTCTAAATTTTGAACGCATAATTAAATTAAAAGAATCGGCTAGTAAGATCGCAACTAAGTATAATAAAGTATAGTATTAAAATAATTGTTTTGAAAAAATCACATAGTTATCTCATGTTTGTTAAGTTTAAAGATTTTTTCATATAAGTGCCTCACGTGGGATAATCATAACTTTTTTTTTATTATCTGACAATAATATTCTTTAGTTGGTTATTTTTATTTTGTGTATTTCATGTCTAACAATTACTATTTATTTTAAATAAAATTTTATTTATAGGTTGTAAATATAAATTCAAACAAAAATAGCTTTTTATCTGGGCTGCTACTCTTTGGATTATAGCTTCAAACACTTAAACAAGTTAGAGAATCTTGGAGTAAACGTATAGCTAAACCTGTTAAGCAATATTCAAAAACAACATTTTATAGACATGCAAAAAATTTTGTAACAATAATCGAGAATAATTTCATTCAAAGCACAAAATCAAATTTTCATAATCAAGATCTTGTTAAATTAAAATCAGTAAAATATGTTGTCAATAATCAAAATTATTTTTCAATTTTGAAGAGGACCTTGCATAAAAAAGAACTAAATAGTTAAATATCATCAAAGTAATAGATTCAAGTTACATTTCATGTGATGCTTATCAAAATTAAACGGCAGTAAATTATCATCTACCCCGTGAATATATTATCACAAATGAACGAAATGACCTAACCCAAAGAATGACTAAAGACATTCCTATCAAACTTGTTAATATAAATACAATGATAACAGATAAAGAATTTGATAATATAGTTGAAGAACCTGATAATGAATCTAATAATTTAGATTCTAAAGTAGTTGATAATATTATGAATTCTATAGATATAGACAGGCAATGGAATTGTAAAGGAATACTTAAATATATTATTCCTTATTTGTTGTATGAAAATATATTATAAGTTCATGATTTAATAATCTATTTGCGAATTTTCAGTGATGGTCGAAATGTTAGACAAAAAGTCAAGCATATTATGGTTACATTTACAATTCTTAATAATCAGCAAAATTGCTATAAACCTAGCTATCATCATACTGTTGCTTTATATCTGAGAGTCGAAAAGTATGAATCTCTTAAATTCATTTTAGGCCTATTTCTTAACGATTTTAAAGATCTTAAAAACAATAAATTAGAGGTCGCAAATATCTTATAGCAGTTTGAACTATATTTTAGCAGTGATTAGAAGTTTTTGGCAATTTGTTTCAGATTAAATGCTGTCAATTCTAACCATTTTTGTGCTTGGTGTCTCTGCTCTAAGCGGGAAATTAGAGATATAATACAGGATTGGAGAATAACAAAATCAATAGATAATCTAAAGAATAACTACTATAATATTCTAGGCCATATCAAACCTCCTTTATTCGATATAATTTCTTTGTCCAACTATGTCTTTAACGAGTTACATGTATTGTTACTAGTTTATGATCAGCTCTAGACATTAATATTATCAGAAATTAAAGAGTGAAATCTATTCAATAATATTAGTCGCCAAATTATTGTAAATAAAATGAAATGGCTCAATATTAAATTCTATTTTTGGGAAGAATCCAATATATGGAAGTATATATCATTAACTGGAGATAACAAAATTAAAGTATTACAATACTTTAATTTAGAAACCCTTTTTTATCCAAGTTGGGCCTAATTAATTCAATCTCTGTAGAACAAATTTATTAATTTGTATGAGGCAATACGTAATCAAAATAGCGATCCTTTATATTTAAAATATTTAGTGCTTGAATAGTTAAAGTTTTTTTAAAACCTGATGAGAGAGATCCAAAAGATCCACACAATATCGTCAAAGGTCTTTATTTGCCAGTTCATATAACTCCATATATTCATTTTTTGGTATTTCATGGATGGGAACTACATCAAAAATATAAGCGATAGAGATTAAAGACATTTTCTTGTAGTGCGGTTGAAAAGAAAAATCATATGCATATATCTTATTTTTTTTGAAAGACTACTTTGAATGGTCTTAAAAAAATCTGGCCACAATAGAAATTTTAGAATATAAGTCATAAAATCTTTTTTATATATACAATGATCTTTCAGTATAGCCAAAAACTAAAAAACCCCATATTAAATAAAATCATATAACATAATTGTACTGTATAATTATAAAAATTTTTACTATTAATATAAATTTGATTTATAGTGCGAAAATATTTTCATTCAGATTTTATTTTAAATTGAGTAAAATGCCAGAGGTTCTGTTGGTTTCCGGCCTGACTCTAAGCATGGTGTTGCTAAAAAATAGCAGAGACAGTGCCTAATCTAAAGTGAATCTCTCTCGCCTGTGATCAATCACAAATTAAATTATTTATGTTGGATTCAATTGTGATGGATATAATCCCTCACCAGTT